CTTCAACACAGGGAAGATACCACGGCAGAAAAGGCTGCTACTCAGAAAGGTTGTTGAAACTGTGGAGAGCAAGGATATATGAGGAGCCAGTGTAAGAAGAATAATACCAATAAGTCTTCGGGAAACCAGTAGTGGTTGGTGCTGAGGGACGCCCACCAAACCCCATCGTGAAAGTCCCAACAGCTAAGTGTAAAATGACAAGTACACATAGTGTCTACGTGACAGGAAAGCTGGATGGCCAAAAGTGCAACTTTGTTATAAATTTTGCATCTCAGCAAACCCTTGTGAGTATCAAGGTGCTGGATCACAAAGGAGTACCAGAAGCCGTGCAGAAGCTCTGTGGTGTGCCAGGACATTATGCAAGGTTTTAGGGACCAGTATGGGTAATTATCGAGCTCCTGGGCATGAAGAACAGACAGAAAGTATACTTGGCTGACATTGAAGGCCAATGCATATTAGGATTGGATTATTTCATACCGAGGAAGTGTGTAGTTAACTTCGATAAAATGACGATTGGAAACAACAAATGCCAAATTCCAGTAAATGTTGCTGCATCTGTTGATTTACATGTCACAGCACTTAAGTCAACTACAATACCCCTAATGTCAGAGAAGATAATTTGGGATAGAATAAAAGAACATCCCTAAGGAAGCCCGATGCTTGTGGAAGCAGTGGAAGACCCAGGCAGGCCAGCGGATGTGAAGATTGGAAGATAATCAAGCAGTACCGGTAACAGTGGCCAATTTCTCTAAATGTGAGCAGACACTTAAGGAAGGGGCATTGTTGGGTGTGTGCCAGGAGGTAGAGCCAGTCAATGTTAAGGCAAGAAATACAACCATAAGAAAGGACATCCTCTCCCAAAACATTTAACTGACCTCTTTAAGAATAGTACGGTCCATTTGTCATCATCACAGGCTCTTCAGGTAATGGAGTTTTGGGCAAACTATGCAGACGTCTTTTCGAAAAAGATCATGACCTCGGCTGTACAGACCTTGTGGAGCACAGAATAAACACAGGCAATCACCGTCCAATAAAGATCCCTCCGAGGAGAATAGCTCCAGTAAAGCGACAAGAGATGGAAAGGGTCATGGATGGCATAATTATGGAAGGGATAGTCGAGAAATCAGAGAGTCACTGGTCAGCTCCCGTCGTGTTAGTCCTGAAGAAGGATGGGACCCAACGTTGCTGTGTGGACTTCAGAGCTCTTAACAGTATAACTGAAAAGGATTCATACCCGCTGCCAATAATTGATGATACTCTTGATGCTCTAGGTGGAACCAGGTGGTTTTCAACTCTGGACTTATAGTCGGGTTTCCATCAAGTGAAAATGGCTGAAGCAGATAAAACTAAGACTGTATTTAGTTATGATCAAGGTCTCTGGCAATACCGTGTGAGTACAATTGGACACTGGGACAGGAATTGACAAAGTTTTGTAATAGCTGCCGAGATGACTGGGGTGTCTTACTCCCTCCACTGTTGATGGCCTACAGAACAGCAGAGCATGAAGCCACTGGATACACTCCAGCAAAGCTGATGTTTGGTCTGGAGCTTCGGTTGCCAGTGGATCTGATAACAGAACGCCCACCTTATGAAGAATTGCCTG